CGCCCGGCCCCCCGCCCGCCCGTCCCGGGGTCAAGGGGGCTGCCGGGCCTCGGGGACCCGGTCCTCGCTTGACTCTCTCACCCGCGCTTTGCACGTGGTGGCAGCTTGGCCGGGCCTGAGGGCGGGCGGGGCGGGGCGGGGCGTGGGGGGGGGCTCTGAGCTCGCCGGAGCTGCGGGCGCCACGGAGGAGGCGCTTAAAAGATATTTTCAAACGAATTAAGAGTTAGAAACACTTTGCATACAAAAGCTGGGGGGGGGGGGGCTGGACAGGGACGTCCTGGGCCCACGCACGTCCATGCCCAGGATCTCAGCAGCCTAGTAGTCCTGTTGATCCTGGAATTAACTGAGGCCCCGCAGGAACAGGATGGGGCGAGGGAAGCACCCTCTGCCGGGTGCGCCGCTCCGAAGCGCAAGCTCACGGTCGTCGGGGACCCAGGGTCCCTCCTGCAGCCAGGCGAGCTCAGCTCACTCCCGAGTTGTTGGCGCATCCGCAGCGGCTGCGGGCCTGCGGGCTACTGACCAACAGGTGAATGAAGGGACAGAGAGCGAGGCTGACGCGCCCAGGCGGCGGCCGCGGCGGCTTGGGCTCACCTGGGGCCGGGCCCCGGGCGCGGGACCCTGGACGTCCGGGCTGCCGGTGGGCTGCGAGAAACGGGGCAGAGGAAAGCCCCTCTAGGCAGACTCTGAGCCCCTCAGCCCGTTTGCAAACCCGCGGAGACCCGAACCTTGGCTGCGGCTCAGCCCCGCCCGTCCCGGCGTCCGGCGCCCCCCCCCCTCCCTGCGGGAGGAGAGCGCGTCTTCCGGAAGAGAGGCTGGAGAGCTCCCGGGGCTCATCGGGTTAGGGCGGGGGGGGAGAGGCTGGACGTCTGGGGCCCAGAAGACCTTCCCTTGGTCCCCATCCCACGCCCGCGGACACAGCGCGGTTTGGCAAATGAAAGGCGCGGGGGCCTGACCCCTTGTGGTGGTCACAATAATCACGCCTCCCAGGGAAATTGACAGGAGGACTTAGCATTATTATAACATATAATAATACTATAGACAATATAATATTATTATATGTAATTTAATAATACTATAGACCATATAATATTATTATATGTAATTTAATAATACTATATACCATATAATTATATATTATTTCTGTATAACATATAGCACATATTATTAATATATGATTATATACACATATATATGTATTTAGAGACGAGTTCTTGCTCTATATATTGCCCAGGCTAATGTCGAATCTCTAGGCTCAAGAGATCCTCCTGCCTCAGCCTCCTGAGGAGTTGGGACTACAGGCAGGCACCACAGCACCCAGCTTAGAATAATAATAAATTCAACAATAGGGGTAGTGATAATAATGACTCTCATAGCACTTACGATAATATGACATCAACTATTAAGTCATTTAGTTATCTCAAAAGTACTATGAGGTGAGTACTATTATTATCCCCATTTCATAGATGTGGAGAGTGAGGCACAGAGTGAATAGGTAACCTGTCCAAGGTCACACGGCAAGCAAGCAATGGAGCTGGAATTTGAATCCAGAATCCGTGCCCTTGGTCTCTGTGGATAATTATAACAATATTTCTTCAGCGTTCTGCAATGTGAAGAGCACACCAGCTGTATCTGTTCATGTTCTTATTTTAGATCTTGCTTCATTTTCCTCTCCACCTAACATTTTAACACTTCCTGATCTAATGACTAAAAGGCTGAAAATATGCTTATCCTTTAAAGATTGCCCCTCAAACTGCAAATTAAAACACAATGAGACATCACAAGTGATGGTTAGGGTGTAGAGCACATGGGACTCTCATGCATTGCTGGGGGAATGGAAGCGGTGCAGTGACTATTTATTTTTTATTTTTTTGAGTTGGAGTCTCACTCTGTTGCCCAGGTTGGAGTGCCACAATCATGGCCATCACAGTCTCAACCTGCTGGACTCAGGCAATCCTTCCACCTGAGTTTTCCAAGTAGCTTGAACTACAGGCACACACCACCACACCTGGCTCATTTTTTAAAAAATTTACTGTTAGCCGGGCTCGGTGGCTCAGCCTATAATCCTGCGCCTTTGGTAGGCTGAGGTGAGTGGATTGCCGGAGCCCGTGGGTTCGAGACCCACCTGGGCAACCTAGCGAGACCTCATCTCAACAATAAATCAAAAATTAGCCGGGCGTGGTAGCGCTCGCCTGTAGTTCCAGCTACTTGGAAGGCTGAGGTGGAAGGATCGCCGGAGCCCAGCAGGTCGAGGTTGCGGCACTCCAGTTTGGGCAAGAGAGTAAGACTCCAACTTAAAAAAAAAAAAAAAATTATTGTAGAGATGAGGTCTCGCCAAGTTGCCCAGGTGGGTCTCGAACCCCTGGGCTCAAGCAGTTCTCTCATCTCAGCCTCCCAAAGTTCTGGGATTACAGACGTGAGCCACCGCACCCAGCCAATTTTTAAATTTTTTTTTTGAGTCGGGGTCTCACTGTGTTGCCCAGGCTGGAGTGCAGTGGCACAATCACGGCTCAACTCAACCTCAAACTCTTGGGCTCAAAAGATCCTTCTGCCTCAGCCTCCCGAGTAGCTAGGACTACTGGTACACATCAGCATCCATGGTTAAATTTTGTTTTTTTTGTAGATACGTAGTCTCATTATGTTGCCCAGGCTGGTCTTGAACTCCTAGGCTCCAGCAATCTTCCTGCCTCAGCCTTTCAGTGTTGGGATTACAGGCGTGAGCCACTGTGCCTGGCCTATTTCACCTTTTTAAAAATAAAGTTAAGATATATATTATATATTTTATAAAGTTAAGGTACATATGACTAGCAATTCCACTCTTAGGTGTTTACCAAGAGAAATAAAAGCATACACCCAAAGATCACATACGTTGTCATATGGGGTTATTTATGATAAGCTCAGACAAAGAGCGGCCTGGATGTCCATCAACCACTGGATAATAATGAATTATAATTCATTCATACAAGGGAATACCAGTCAGCAGTAAAAAGGAACAAACTTTTGATGCACACAACTGCATAGATACAGCCTAGAAACTTTATGCTGAGTCGAGGAGCCAGACACAGACAACTGACATTGGGTGGTCCTGTGTGTATGAGACTCTAGACCACACACAGGACTCTGGTGACAGCCAGTAGATCAGTGGCCATCCTGTCCAAAGATGGTGGCAGTAGAGATGAGGATTTTAAGAAACAGGTCAAAGGAACTTTCTAGGATGATAGAAATGTTCTATATTTTAACGATAGTGGTGGATACACAGTTGTATAAGCTTACCAAAACATCAAAATTTATACTTTAAGTTATGAATAAATGTATAGCACAGCCTGACAAGACTTTAAGGTGAGAATCTGGGCTACCCGGAGAGATAAGCAAATCAGTCCTTTAAAAAGGATAAGAAAAGCCGGGCTCGGTGGTTCAGCCTGTAATCCCGCGCCTTTGGGAGGCTGAGGTGAGTGAATTGCCTGAGCCCGCGGGTTCGAGACCCGCCTGGGCAGG